ATATTTCGACCGTGTCTCACGGTTTTTTCCAAGGTTAAAATTTGGGTGAGTTTCAGAAGTATTCGTCTTTGCAAAAGCTTATGAGTTTGAAGCCAACGGTAAAAAATTTTGCAGTAAAGTTTTGATATTTTCACAAAAAATTCAAATTGTTATTTCTTGAGTAGAAGCGTAAAATTTGATAACCGAACTTCTTTTTAACCCACTATCATTTTAACACACTACTAATATGCTCAATAGATAGAGACACAATGAAACAAGCGGTTGATAGTATTTGCTAGGACTGTCAATGTTTCACTTAAACTACATTGACCATGCTCAAGGGCAACAGTGAGTTGGAGATGGCTGAGCATTCGCGATCTAAATGACCTGTTTTTCTTTTTCTTACTGTCATTTCATCGAACGGATTTGTCGCTTAAAGGAATCACAGATTGTCGAGATAGACCGAATAATTTATTTGCTCTTTACCGATGAAATTCATGTGATCCGGTTTATAATTGGTTTTTTTATACACTGAAAAATACTGACTGACTGCCAAAATTACACCAAGCAAATGCTGGTAGTAGTTCCTTTCTCCTATGAGGTACTAGATTTTGCAATAGAGAGTTCGTCACTGTTTCTTATCTTCTTTGGTCGGCGTCAAATGGCCTGATTTCAGTGAGAAATCTACCTTTTCTGTGCACTTCGTTATTTGAACCAAGCGGTTGAACTCGACATGTAGATTACGAATTTTCATGGCGTTGGTTACTGCTGACCTTCGTGGCACGGTTTATCGCTCTGTTCACGCCATTACATATGCCAGGTCGTCAAGAATGTTCGTTTTGCAACTGGGGCATTTCACGCGGTCAGCTTTATTCATCTCAACAAGTACGTAATTCATCGGTCAGCATTTGCTGAACAACTGTTGATGTGGGAAGAGCATGCACGGCCGACGGTGTCCTTCACTCTCATGTAAATGGCAGGTAAGCATTTGGCGGTCGTTGTAATCATTGTCATCGGATTATTTTCGTTACTTGATGTGGAGCTGTTACTTTGCGGCATAAGTTAAACCTTTTAGCATAGAAAGTAGAAGTAACTTAAGGGGGGTAAACTACTATACCACCTAACTGTACGCAAGGTAAATTTCGTCAAAATGTCTCCTTGTGCATGATGATGAATTTCAACAGCTGGACGACTGATTAATGAGGAACAACGATATCTGATATGATATGATATCTGATCATCACAGCCGGCGTCATGAAGCCATGTACCAAACTGTTTCTGCCACAGGGCGATGAACCTTACACACTTTTAGATCGATTTGGTTTTTTCATAGGTTTAATGCATGACATGAACACGTTTAGCGTATGATGTTTTAGGGTGTTTTGTCCTTTCATCCATAAATATCTGTTGTTCTTGTTAGTGGATAGTTATTGTTGCTGAACGTCGCTCTCCGTGCTTCATGAAGATGTGTTTGTTCTCCTTTCTAGGATGCGTTCAGTGGCATAATTTATTCGCTGATGTTCTTCTCGAAGGCAATCTCAGCAATGTTTTGCACCGCTGTATCTGTTAGCTGAATTTCGCGCACCATACGCTTATCAGCCATCACTTTCTGTCATTTGACTGGATTCTGTGTGATCACGCCCAACGTC